CACGCTGTGAGAGATCTTTTTTTATATACCTTCTCTCCTCTTTTCTTATCTAAGCGATAAGGGCAGCGCTTCATAGAAGCTGCAGCCCCAGTACGCTTCCGTTTACCCTTCGGACGGCTGTACGGAATGTAATTTCACTGTACTTAACTGTACAATGACAATAAAGCTGATTCTGATATATGAACTGTTACAATATCTGTCCTTGCAAGTAAAATTGTGCCAGAGATCAATTTTCACTTGCCCTGTGTGAGTGTGGTTCACTAGGGTAAACATCATTTAGAGTGTTTTCCTCTACCAATGATAATTCTTAACACTTTCTTGTGTTTGCTGTTTTTTCTCAGGTAGCACAGTATCTATTGGACAAGAGTTTTGTTCTTGACGAAGAAAGCATGTATGAAGCTTCGCTCAGAATCGAGCCCAAAGTGTCCAACTGATGGGGAAGATGGTGCTCCGCACTTTGTTTTCTCCGTTACTGTTACACATAAGTTAACATACACATGGACCATTGTATAGCTGGACAAGATATTTGCTCTTCTGTACTATAGACGTTTACAGTTGTTTGATGACACGAAACATTTTGGCTTTTTTTGTTTGTTTGTTTGTTTTTTGTTGCCATGATAACACTTTTCTTTTTTTTTATTTGAGTAATCAAGAATAATAATAGAGGTCACTGTAGTTACATGCAACCGTGTCTTCTTAGTGACCAATGACATTATTTTGCATCATGTAATACTGTGTCGAATTTGCACTTTCTGAGCACTGATGCTGCTTGCCGTTGTTCCCTATAGTTTGGGGTTTTATTGATCATTGACATTCTCTGCAACCAATGTAGCATTGTATAAATGAACTGCATAATCAGGTTAAAGAGCCCAGAGGAAGTTTTTATTTTTGTTGTTGTTTTAAGAGAGGAAACAACGATCTGTAGAACTGAACAGCAAGATGTGCAAAGCATATTTTTCCTAAAAAAAAAACTTGACAAAATGACAAACCTTATTTTACAATATTCCTAATTTAACCTGGATTAAAATATGCAGACATACAGAGACACAGCTTGTTTTTCTGTCCAGTAAACATGCACCTGAGGGTTAAGAGAAGTGCTCTTTTTGTTTACACTAAAATGACTAAAACTAAAACAAACAAAAAAAGGGATTCATTCTATTTTGTTGCCTGCTAAAACTCAAGGTGCCCCAAATCACAGAAGACACCTCATTTTAAAGAATAATTCTAAATGATAAATAGGGATGCACGATATTATCGGCATGGTATCGTTATCGGCTGATTTTAGCGATAAAGTTAAATATCGGTCAGGTCTCTCTTGTAAACGAGTCCCTGGGGCTCAGTGGGATTAACCTGTCTAAATAAAGGTTGAATGAATGAAAAATTGGACATTGGCAATTCCACCAAAGTAACTCACAGATATATAAAAGGCACTGTTTTTCTAAAAATACATTATATATTTATACAGTGTTACATCATTTTCAGCCCCATTTTGGGATCTGCATTTGGTAGCAGGCCAAACTGACAAAGACTGTGTAGAATAATGTAGTATTTTAATTCCACAACAGAGAAAGCTATGTAGTCTCTGTAATTAGGTCTAGGGGAAAAAAATATTGGTATTGGTATCGATTATTGGCCAAATAAGTTTTAACATATCGGCCAAAAACAATCCAATACCGTGCATCCCTAACAATAATGATTAAGAAAGGTTACAGTTTTAAAGATTATTGCGATTTAGGATGACATATCTGAATTATTTTAAATTTTTTGATTAAGGCTGACACCGGTATAGTTTGCTTGAAATTCCTTTCCTTTCCCTTGTGAAAAAGATCACAAGTGTTGTACCTTAAAGTCGGGGTTCGACTCCTGCAGAGTAAACGGTTGTTGCTCTTCTGTAATTAAAAGACAATCTGTCCTTCTTGCTGTTCCAGTGATTGTGGAACGTGACTGTATATCACTCTGTTATATGCATCGCTGTTAAAAATGATAAACTGTATGTGAATGACCTCTGCCTGCAGCATCCAAACACTATTTTTGTAGTAGTACAAGAGGCAGTGACCTGCTCTTTATATGAACATGGGAAAGTATTTTGTACTTTGTTGTTAATTCACTTCACTGAGATGTGCTGTACATTTTGTACATGCAATCTGACATATTTCTCAACGTGGATCAGTGTAATCCTTCAAAAAAGATGTATCTTAAGCTCAATACAGAATGCTACAACAGTGTGGTGTTGATACCATGACTTAGAGGTAGGACACAACTTCGAAGTGTTTTGCATTTATACTGTAATCCTGTTTATAATCATTTCTGTTAGCAGGAATATAGTAACGTAGTGATTATTCTGTGAATATTTGTATGTATTTTTACTATGTATGTACAGTACACTTTTAAGGCTAATGTAGTAGGCATGCAACACCTTCACAGACAGAATTAAACTATTTACTTATACTGTATACACTTATACATGCACATAATCTTATAAGGTATTTAAACAAATAAACATTTTGCTGTTAGCAATACCCAGTGGTATGAAAATTATCTTTCAACCCTCTTGTTTCCACAACTACAGAGATATTCCCAGTTTTGTAAGAAACAAAGAAAAAAAAAAGAACAAAATAAAAGAGATGACGTTGAAAATAACAACAATTAAATGAAAATATGTTTCCCAATTACCTCTTGCTAATAAATCCATCTTATCTCAGGAGCATTTTGTCTGAAGTGTTTTTTGTAAATCTATGAGTTGGCACAATGCTCGTTAGGTGAAATGTAATCCATCCTGTGATGGAATCACACATGCAGGCCCTCACAAGCTCAAATAAGATAAATTATTTTATGTCGTTAAAGTTAAATATTCCAAAATTTACATGCACAAGCATTTCTTTTTTTCATAATATCTTATACTCAGTTTAAGAAGTGTAGCTGTTGTGGTGGTGGTGTGGTTGCGTCAGGAAGGGCATCCGACGTAAAATGCGTTGCTGTCAGGAGTGGTGTTTCAGGAGAAGAACCCAATGGTGCAGGCAGGACTCAGAACCAGGGAGGAAAATTAGAAGCACTTTAATAATACAAAATCATAAACTGACGTGGCAACAAAACATTTACATGACACGAGGGAATAACCAGGGACTCGAGGGAAACCAGATCACAAGATGATGACAAGACGATGCCCAGACAACTAGTGATAAAAAGACTCAGACTTACATGCACACACAGAGCCAACAATCACACACACCTGAACAGGACACAAAGGTGGAGACAATCAAGACAATTAACAGAGAAACCAGGGAGTGTAAGGATGGGGACCAACCACCAGAGAGGGCCATCTTCACAATTGCCAAATCTTTCATGTGAGTTCGCTCGCTGTGGTGACCTCTGAAGAACGGAGCAGCCGAAAGAAACTGGCTTACTTACATTATAGTTTTATGTTCGTAAAAAAAATTTTTTTATGACCAAATGTTTGGATATTATTACAAAATATGCTAATTAAATGATAACAAAATGTGCATGCTTTATTATTATTATTATTATTATTATTAAAATTATTATTTTTGCCCACTCTGGGCCCCTGTGCAAGACCCTTAACACCCACCATCTGCTCCCCTGGATGCCCTAGATAGTAGCTCTCTGCTCCACACAGAGGACTGTGGTAGCTCAGTGATTTGCAGTTACATCAGGAAGGGCATCCTGCGTAAAAATAATCACCAAGTCTTTTTATCCTGATGCATGCTCAATAATCCAGGTAGAAAAATCAAAAAAAGTTCAATCTGGTCCTCTGGACATTCAAAAAAGTCTTTTTAGTTTGCCGAGGCGATCCCTGAAGAAGGGAGCAGCTGGGAAAATTATTATTATTATTATTATTATTATTATTTTACCATAATAAAAATAATAACGGCCCTGTGATGGACTTGCAAACTATCCAGGGTGTACCCCACCCCTCGCACAGTGATTGCTGGACATGGGCACCAGGCAGCGACCCCCATGACCCAAAATGGAAGAAGCGGATAAAAGATAATGGATGGATGGAAAAAGTAATAACTTATTATTGGAATGTATTAAAAGACATCACATTATAGCATAATAAGTATGAATATTGGAACAATATGAAAACATTTTGTTTTAATGTGAACAGTACATTGTAATAACATTAAAAGGTTATAATGTGGTAGGATTATGCACAGGTTCACACTCAGATTTTTTTTTAAATGTCAGAACGTTTTGTTTTTTAAAAATCTGTAGAAAAAAATCACATATGCAAAGTGTTTTTTTTTTATCAGAGCTTAAAAGTATGTTATTCAAAGTGTTTAGCATAATTTTGTTCTTGTTTATGTGTAATGCCATAATAAATGAATGTTTATACTGTTTAAAAACAGCTTTTGTTTTACACATTGTGGTGGGTTGCCAGTTGGGCTTGTTTTGATAGAGCTGGTTGCTTGTTTCTACCGCGAGATCTGGCAACACTGCTTAGTTCGCTGTGGCCAGCCCTGAAGAAGGGAGCACCCGAAAGAAGAGGGAACAAATAATCTAAAAGTGGCCAATATGGGCTTCAGTAGTTACCGATTTGAAATATATTCCAACACAGACACATGGATTCCAATATGTATGACTTCATTTTTAATCTAAAACTGGTCTAAATGGGCTTCCGTAGTCGCAGAGTTGAGAATACTTAGATTTATTTATTTTTTTAAAGGTGGCTGAAATGGGTTTCCACACCGCAGCTTAAGCATTGAAACTTTAGTAGCAGTTTTCAAAGAAGGGACTTTGGCCAACACTATTAATTCAGATAGATACACGTTTTATTTCGTATTTTATTGTAACGAAGCAGCACAATGTTAAATGTGTTCCACCTTGCCCAGCTTTTACCCAGCAACCCATTACGCAAGAGAATGTAGTCGGTGATTTTATTGGTGCACATTTTCCTCATGACGCTGCAGCTCATTGTCTCTTTGCTGCCGGTGTTCTGTGAACTAGTGTTCAATTTCAGCACGACCTGAAAATGAAAACAGCAGCAGAACCGAGCACCATGAAGTTCTGGCTCGTGCTGAGCCTCTCTGCTGTAACTTCAGCGTTTTACTTGGCAGAACAAGGTAAGCCATCCTTTCTTTATTCGTGTCGGAGGCGTCTCGTTTCTTCCTTCAAACGCGTTTTAATGTAACATGAACTCTTTCCAGACGAGTTTCACTTCAAGTCGTGGATGGCTCAGGTCGGTGTGTCTTTACAGTCTGCCAGAATAAGAACCGTGTAACTGAATGAAATGTGGGGAAATCACAGCTCTGCACTCTTGTAATAACAGACTCTGTGTTTCCTCCTGTGTGCAGCACAACAAGTTTTACAACATGAAGGAGTACTACCAGAGACTCCAGATATTCACACAACATAAGAAGAGGGTTGACAAGCACAATGAAGGAAACCATTCTTTCACAAGTAAGAGGACACTTTGCCATTTTGACCTTTTTTATGACTCCTCTGGAATGATTTCCTGTCTCTCTGCAGTGTCTCTGAACCAGTTTTCAGACATGACGTTCAGTGAGTTTCAGCAGTCTTTCCTCTGGTCTGTGCCCCAGGTAACGCCACGTGGAGTTACATGGAAGTTGTAGGCTGGGAACTTTTTAAAACAGGTTATATACATATATGTATTTATTTACTTTGCAGAACTGCTCTGCCACAAAGGGAACCTACCGTGGCAGTAATGGACCACATCCAGACTCCATAGATTGGAGAAAGAAAGGGAATTACGTAACGGCGGTGAAGAATCAGGTGAAGTTTGACACAAGCAGCCTCAAGTATCTTTTTTATGGAGCTCAAAGGGCTTGGTTCAGTGCTTCAGTCATGGTAGGTTCAGTGGACATGCAGTAAGACAAACTTGTAAATAAAACGACACTTGATTAATACACTTGGAGAACATAGCTGCCAGCCAACCAGCTGGGGTGGGGTTTTTTCTGTCAAAAACAAGTTTGTGTCTGGAATTACGATTTAGTTACACAAATACAATACTTTAAAAATAATCAACGGGTCAATCAGGTCAACTGGGCAGTTTCTTTTTTGTGGAAAGACGTTTTGCCCTCTATCCAGAGGGCTTCATCAGCCTGAGGAGTCCCAAGTAAACTGTTTTTCCCACTAAGCAGTACACTCCTTTTAGTGGATCAACCAGTTTGTTCAGGAGTGTACTGCTTAGTGGGGAAAACAGTTTACTTGGGACTCCTCAGACTCATGAAGCCCTCTGGATAGAGGGTGAAACTTCTTTCCACAAAAAGGTCATGTGAAGAGCAGGTGCAGCTTTATATTAAAGTTTACCCCGAGATACGCTGATTAAAAAAAAAAAACGTGTGCAAACTTTGCTTGAAGGTGCATGTGTATGACCATTGTTGAGTAAATCCTTTGAACTTCTCTCAAAAATTGCTCTTTAAATGTCTTGTTTGTTTTATCGTTTTGTTTTCCGCAGGGAGCTTGTGGCAGCTGCTGGACGTTTTCCACGACAGGCTGTTTGGAGTCTGTTACTGCCATCGCCACAGGGAAGCTCGTGCCGCTGGTGACTTATTTAGACTTTATTATCAAAAATGCTGCTCTCGTGGAGAAAAGAGAGCACAGCACTGCAAAAACCTTAACCATAATCTTAAACCTTTTGGTTTTATCCAGTCAGAACAACAGCTGGTAGACTGTGCACAGGATTTTAACAACCACGGATGTAATGGGTAAGAGCTAAACATATTTCTACTCTTATTATGTAATTTTCTGGTAGATGTGTGCTTTGCTCATCTTTTTCTTTAACTCTGTCGTCCAGCGGTCTTCCCAGTCAAGCATTTGAGTACATCATGTACAACAAAGGACTAATGACAGAGCAGGACTACCCGTATACATCTGTGGTAACTAATCAGTCACCCTGAAGCATTAAGATATTAAATGTTACTCCTTGCAGTTTTTATTTGAACTGTTCTGCTAATTAGGAAGATACTTGTGTGTATAAACCATCACTGGCTGCTGCTTTTGTGAAGGACGTGGTGAATATAACGCAGGTAAGTGACCGTTGTTCAAGGAGAAGGTTTTTATGGATGGTAGAAAGAATATTAATGATTTTTATGTCTTTTATCAGTACGATGAGATGGGGATGGTTGATGCTGTCGCCACGCGCAATCCTGTCAGCTTAGCCTTTCAGGTGACCTCAGACTTCATGCATTACAGCCAGGGTGTGTATACCAGGTAAGAAGACGTCTCAACATTAAAGAGTTAAAAACAAGAGCATGAAAATTGCAGCTGTGTTTTTTGCTGGATTTATGTATTTCTGGGAGAATTTGTCCATCTTGTTCTCATTTTTAAAAGATAAGATAAACTTGACCTCCTATGCCTAATGTTAGAAACATTTTTTTTTGTATATAGTTTTATTTTGACTTGAAGTACTGTACTAGTTCACACTCAGAACGTCTTGTGTGCAAAAACAGGTTTTTCAGTTAGTGCGGCTGTTACTTTTGTAGGTTCAGTTCCTCGTTCTTTATAAAACGGACCATGTGTAAAGTCACAAGGTGAGCCGTTTTTGTTCCTGCTTTCAGCAAAGTTTGCCACAACACCACAGACGAGGTGAACCATGCTGTGTTAGCTGTTGGCTATGGAGAAGAGCATGGTACCCCTTACTGGATAGTAAAAAACTCATGGGGACCGGACTGGGGCATGGACGGGTACTTTTGTATTATTTATTTTTTAATGAAACCCTCAATAAAGGTTTATGAACAAAAATAACATTAAAAACAATGTTTACTCTTTGCAGATATTTTCTCATTGAGCGCGGGAGAAACATGTGTGGACTTGCTGCCTGCTCATCTTTTCCTGTGGTCTGATTGTGTTACATGTGTTTTACCAAAAAAAAGGAATCTAAATATATTTTTAAAATATAGGATTTATTTTAAAGCACAACTTCAACAGCATGCATTTTTTTAAGAAGAAGAAGAAGAAAGGGCTAAGAAGAGTAAGTTTTGATCATGTAGTGATACACGTGAGGTACGTGTCACTTGTTGTATGACACAATATATGAATTATATATGCATACAATATTCACGAGTTCTTCATTTTTCTGACTGTAAATGCCGTGCATTGAATTTAACAGAAATGTGAACGAGAGACGTTATTTATCTTTGACCCATCAAATGAATGGAATCATTTATTTTCAAAATCAAAGTTTAACATCAAACATTTACATTAATTTGGCAAAATATGAAAATAATAACAGACAGTTTCACAGAAAATGAACTTCAAATCACTCGGCGGTGATTTGAGGACTTTGCTTCAGACATTTCTAAAAATATCTGTACTGATTTATGAGAGAGAGGTGAGTTTAAGAGTAAATTGAGATTTATCTTACAGAGGAATATGTGAGGGAGATTTAATCTGTTTAACCAGAAGTTGCACGCTCCGTCCGATCTCAGCTTCTCACGGTACACTTGGTCAAAATAGAACCATCTACCTGTTGACGATGAATCAGCGTTGGATGTAGTTCCTTTCTGACTCGTTTCAGCGTCTCCGTCGAGAGCTACCAAACCTTCAGAAAGTCGTGCGTTGATTAGCTCAAAACAGAATTATAATCCCCAAAAACCTCTGGATTCTTCATTGCTCTGAAGCTTTCAGAACCGACTGCATTCTCAATCTTCTCATTCTGTTAGACTATCGGACCTGTTGTCAGCTCCCAATCCAACATCTCTCAGAACTCTCAATCTAACTTGAACTGGGGAGTTGCCACATTTTATTTGGGTCGACTTCCTGTTCAATTTAGAGCTTTCTGATTCGTGGAAGGACCAGAAAGAGGAGTGGTTTTTGACGTAAGGTGTTTATCAACAGTCGAGGTCAGAGAATGAAACTTGTTTAACATACAGAAAAGATTATTGCAGAAGCAGCAGACTTTTTGGAGTCTACTCTTAGTAATCTTCTGAAAAAGTTTAAACATGACATTTCTTCTTCAGTAAACATTTTAGTTGACCGAAGACCAACCTTTCACATACTTACGACAGCTTGCTCATTTCAGACAGAAAAATCAAGAAAGGCATATTCAGGTGATTTCTGCTTTGAATGAGGAACAAAAATCATTACTTACTGTTTATGTAAAATAAAAATTAGTAGTTCTTTTCAACCTGTAAAGCATTGAGTGAACTAACACAATTTGATTATCAAAACATTTGTAAGACAGTAATGATTATAAAGAATTGTCTTTTCTGCTTGATTAATTCAAGAAAGAAAGTTCATCAGATGGTTCAGACTTATTCAGATCAATGAAAATAACAGTCTCTGTCCATCTGGTAGATTTGAGGTTATCTGGTTCACTACAATCATTACTGAACAGTTCGCTGCAGCACGATATAATGGACTTAATCATATTTGTTTTACTTTGAACTGAATTAAAAATCAACATAGTTATATTTTTCAAATCGTTGTGATCAAATCCACTAATAAAGCAAAATAAAGCTGCATGTTTGTGCCTTTTTATTGTGGTTGCAAATGTCTGCAACATGCCTAGATTCCCAAAAAATTACATACAGTGTAAGTATTTGCCAGATCTATAACATTTTGGTTTTAAAGGCAATTTGAAATTCTAAGGCTTAGTTTTTCCTAATGAAAAACTGGAAACCGCAAAGAACTATCTTAACTCCTTAGACCACACCCTTATTTATATTTAAATAAATAAAAATATGTTACATTAAAAAAGATGAAATTCTGAATGTTTTGTTTAGGATACTTTAGATAGGTATTTGGCACAAAGGTGATTGCATATTTTTACTCAACTTAAATCTGTATTAAAAAAATAAAATATTGGTACCAAAATAGAAATCAGATTTAAAATGTAGATAATTTAAAATATGGATGATATTTGAATCAGCAATGCTACAAAATCAAGATTCTTCTGCCTACATACTTTTTTTTTATCATCAAACTACATTTCCCAGAATCCTTTATGCCGCTCGGCGCGAGCCAATAAAGAGTCGCTTTCCTGAATGCGCGCTAAATCCACTCAGTGTTTGTGTATGTTATGCAGTCCAGCAGAGAATACTACTGCGGTTTCAAACTATTTAGTAAGACTGTAAACCTAATGAGCTTTACAAAGTTACTATTCAGCGGCGGGACAAATTTGTGCACGTTTTCCTCATCTTGTTCGAGCAATGCTGAAGAAACTGGCCGCAGTTTTATCAACAAAGCCAAAATAGCCAGTAAGCTAGTGTAGCTAGCTCAGCTTCTCGGCGAACTATGGCCAACCTTCCACAGAATAATTTAAAAGAACAACTGGCGAGACACAACAATGCTGCTCAGAGCAAATTATCCCTGGCTAAACCCAAAACGGGGTAAGTAAAGCCAAAATTATCAAATGACGACAGTAAGCAAACTAGCTAACACTAAGTTAGCTGTCAGCGGTGTAACGCGATTACGAAGAGTAAGGTCATTCATTCTTTATGAAACGTTCTTGTAGATTTAAATAATTTGACTTTCGGAACCATCATTTTAACAAGTCGTCATTTAGCAATAAACAGTGAGCTGTACAAATGGAGCTGATTTTGCAGCCCTGCCACAGTCTGGTTCTACTGTGGGATTCAACAATGTTAACCAAAAACAAACTTATGGACCGCAGTTTACTTATGGCTGCTTTTATGTTCATACCCGAGTAACTGAGGTTTACCCTTAATTGTTTGTAGAAGCTAGTGTCAATGTTTAAAGTCAATGTGGCCAGCTACTGACATTAAAAGCCAATTTGTATTTTTTTCTTAATAGCGATCAGTTAAATTTTTATTTGCATTAAAGTCTAGATGATTTTGAAGTGTGGAACTAAAAAAATGACTTATGTGTGGCAGTCAATAATAAAAATTGCATAAAATTTGGGATCTTAAGCGCCCTTCTAAATTTGGCATAAAGCACGTTTTTATACCAGTTTGATTACATACTCTCAATAAATGCCTCTTTAATTTCACATTTCTATGCATGCCGTTTTTATTTTCAGAGCCTTTTCGTTCAAAAAGAAATCGACATCGGGTACAACAAAAGTGGAATATCCTGCCAAGGTAATCAGCTCGAGTGTTTTGGCAAACAGGAACGTCAATATTGCTGAGAACAGTTTGGTGACTAAACCTTCTTTGGCATTTTCAAACAAGCTTGAAAGACCTCAAAAGTCCAAAATCAACAACTTCTTTCCTGTAAGTTCAAAATGCAAGTCAGAGTCCTTCAGCCCAGCAGGTAAACTCTCTTCATCATGTCAAACTCCATCAGAAAAGTCTGACAGTAGGGTGGGTCCAGCTCCAAATAAACCTGACAGCCAGGGTTGTAATGGTGGTTGGATTGGTTCTTCAAGTCTGGATGCATCTGAATTCCCAATGGATGACTGGGATGATTTTGATGACTTTGAAACACCTGTCAGATCAAAAAATGACTCATTCGGCTCAGACAAATCAGGGAAGACCACCAAAACGTCGTCATCCACTGATGAAGAATTCCCAGAATTTATAGGGAAACAAAGCTCTGATGAGAAGTCAGAGCTGGGTAAGCTGAATGATGCCCAGACTTGTATGAAGATGGATGACTTGGAAGAAAGGGTTGACGAAACGGTTTTACCAAAACCTGATGTGTTTCAAGAACCGGCAGAGGACGAAGTTCAAGATTCTCCTGTTAAAAGGTCCCGAAGGCGATGTCCTCCTCCACTTGTGACATCTGTCTTAAGTGACAGCGATGAGGATATTATTGCCATGTCTGAACCTTTGAAGGATAACACAAGTAAGTGGCTGGCTAGTTTATTTTATTTGAATATAAGGAAACGAATCAAGAAGTTGTGGGTGGAATTAATACAGAAATTCACAGCTAAACTATGAAATGTTCTTTACCTCTCAGATGAAAAGAAAAAATGGATCGACCCAAATGTGATAGAGCTTAAAGACAACTCAGAGCCTGAGGATGACCTCGATTATATTCCTCCTTCACCTATTTCTGAGAAGACACCTTACATAATCTCAGACGTGGACATAAGGTTGGTATTTTTAGTTTCAAATGTTATTTGCTCTAGCAATTTATTAATTTAAATTTATAAGATCTGTCAAGTGGAATTGCCAGCGTGAAAGAAAATGTGGTGTTTGCTGGTGTTTTTGAAAGTAAAGAGTCAAAGCTTTAATGTGAGCATGATATCTTCAGCTTTATATGTTGACAGGAATTTAGGTATGACATTATTTATAGTTCACACAGATTAAGAAAATTATTAAGTGAATGCAGATGACCGATCAGGCAGGTGCAATCACAATTAGTCTTATCTCTATTCAGAGCATACATACTGTTCATTCATAATACTTTGTAGAAATAAAATGAACATAGAGCTAATGGTTGAGCTTCGTGTTATAAGTTATTTATCTCAAAGTGGGTTCAATTTATGTGTTTGGATGAATAGGTAAAATTTTAAATTACCGGTAAATGCTAGAACAGCACAATGAGTTACTTGAAATGCACTTTTAAGTTTGATGATAATAGAAATGTAAATGATACACAGTCACTTTAAACCAGAAATATTTATGTCCCACTTGTAAACTGCAAAAAATCTGTAGCATTTGATGTATATTATTCCAAAGTGCATTTATTACAGTGAACAGGTCAAATGTTTTGTTTCATTTCGATTGTTTCACTGTAACAAACATGACTGATTTAGTATGAAAACGTTCTTGCCATAAACATTTTGTGCATTTATGTTAGGAATTTGAAATTAAAGAAAATTCACAGGAGCTATCATTGTTTCTCTTTCAAAAAGAAACGATTCTGAGGATTCGCACAGTAAAGACATTCCTGTCCCATCATACAGTCCTGCTATAACTCCTCCTGAACCTTCTGATCACCAAGCAAAAGACAAAACAAGTGAGTGCTGTTTATTTTTTATGTCTTTCCCTGCTTTTTCCATTCCTTTTTTCTTTAACGAAGGTGTTAAGTTAATAATTGTCTTTTGGTTGCAGAGGAACAACTCTTCAGTATAATGGAGTCGATTTGTGCTCTGGTTGATTCCATCCCTGAACATGAACTGATTTCTTTGTCCTGTGGGGATGAACTTTTGCTCAAAAGAGCTCAAAGGTGTGTTCATTTGAATCAAGTGAAGCCTTGTGTTTTGTCTTTGTGTTTACTGGTATCCCTAAATGACAGCAGTCCTTGTTTTGTTTTGCGTTTCCTCTCTCTCTTGCAGAAAGAGGATTCTTGCTACAGGTTGTGACTTTTTGTTTCGGATGCAGCAGCCAGACAGCACAGGGATTTCTGAGCCCAGCTTTAAAGAAACCTCTTCAAGCTGTTGTGCATCTGGTTTAGTGTCTTCCAACAACTCTTTGCCTGCAGACTACAAGAAGCCTCTGCAGCCCAGAAGTTCCTCAGTCGTCTCTGTGGACTATGACCGTGATTCTTCTTATAGTACTCGTTTAAAGACTTTGCCCAATAAGGACAGCAGGACAGTGTGTGTGGCAAATAAGAGTAATTGTGACTCTCCATCAGCCCACAGCTTCACAAATCCTTTCAGTCCCTCTGAAGAAACTAGTTTCTATATTAATGATGCAGATCTCACATTTTCACCCAAAACGTCTGACACTGTTTTGATAAACAAATCTGAAAACCAAGCGACTACAGGTGCACAGGGCGCTGAAGAAGATGACTTTTACATTGATGATTTTGACATAGATGACATTAATGATTCTGATATCCCGGATTACTTTGATGAGCCCTCAACTTCATCGGTTTCAAGCCAAAATGTCAGTGCTGTGTCTGCTACAGTAAAAGAAGGGGGACCAAACAAGTCGTCATGGGAGAAGAAACCAACGACGCCTGTTTCTGCCCCGAAACCCCCAAAGATTTATTCACCAGGCAAGTCAACACGTGTTTAAATAACAAAAAGCATGGTTTGTCTGGGCCAAAATATTTAAAGTTTGTCACCACTAGATGGCAGCATGCACTGTTACATTGTGTTTTTGTTTAAGAATTCTTTTTTTATCAACCTGAATGCAGCAAAGTGTCCTTAAATTAATTCTGGAGTGCAGTAAATTCACTAAATAGTCTTTAACACATGTCAAAGCAAAACACTCTGACGTACAGTGCCTAATGTTAGAAGTCTGCTAATGTTTTATTCTGCAGAGCCCAACTTCAAAAACCCAGCTCACGACCGTTTCAGAGGTTTTAACTTCCCCCATTCACAGGAGATGATGAAGATTTTTCATAAACGTTTTGGGCTTCATCAATTTAGATTCAATCAACTAGAAGCAATCAATGCCACTCTTCTGGGAGAAGATGCATTTGTGTTGATGCCCACAGGTGAGTAGAAACAGTAAAAGTATGTCCGTCTCTGTCCAGATGATCATTTGAAGGCCACGGTACAGATAATTTATTTTGTTTAATGTTTTAAACTTGACACTTTGCTTTGATTGCGCCTGTCAGCAGGATGTAAAGAGCTGGTTGGTTGGACGTCATTTAACCCTTTAGAGGTTTATTAAACCAAAAATTCTTTGTCATTGTCTCTGATGACAAAAAATGTCAGCTTTTCAAAATTTGTAAAAAGAAAAAAAAAAGGTATTTTTTTACTTTAAACATGTAGGCTGGTTTATTCCTTAACTCTTATGTTTTTTGGGATAAGCATTACTAAAATAATTTACATAACTATCCACTGATTATTAGTACTATTATTATTAGCTCCTGCGATGGGTTGATGATCGGCTGCCAGGCTGATTTTGATGCAGTATTATTATTTTGTCTACAGTGTCAGATTTAACACAAAAACTAGCGCTTGAAGTCTCACAACAAAAAATGTTAGCTTCCAGAACGCTGCTGTAAAAATATTACCGGTATACATTTTTTTTTCTTCCCGTTTTAAATACTGCTCAGGTTTTTTTGTTTGTTAGTTTTTGTGATTTAGCCTAAGATATTTAAATAAAATATTTTTAGTTTTGGAATAAATAAATAAAAAAAAATCAAGTATTGAAAAGTAGTGTGATGTGTCGTAGGTGTAAATTACCATTTTACAAATAAAGCTGAGCCTTTTTATTGAATGTTCTTGAAGTTTTGATCTCGGTTCATAATCACAGTTCAGGAGTTTTCTAACTAGAACTGGATGAACGTCTTTTTCAGAAGCATAAATTTCAGGGACCATTTTAATTGAACCGTTTTAACCTTATTGTAACTAACCGCTGCTGTGAAGTCCTGATGTTTTGTATTTGTGATTTTTCAGGTGGAGGTAAAAGTTTGTGCTACCAGCTGCCGGCTTGCCTCTCACCTGGAGTCACTGTTGTTGTTTCGCCGCTTAAATCCCTAATTGTAGATCAGATCCAGAAACTCACCACCCTCGATGTAAGCATGTTTGTCTATTATTATTAGTACTTAACCGTTGAATGACGATGTTGTATATGTGGTACTTCAAGCGTTTTTCTAAGTGAAGCTGGTAAAATAACTTTCAAACTGAAAATTAGGAAAAGGAAATTATTACACAAAAACGTACAACTCTTGGAAATGGTAAATGCTGGTTTTCTTTGAATTACATAATAAATATTGAATATATTGTGGTTCTGTACTGTTCAGATAATAAAATAAAATGTCTAATTGGTTTGGTAATAGACTATACTGATAAATCGGGAACTAAATAAACTATGAAGTTACATTCGTTATTTTTAAATTGTTCTACATTTCAGATTCCAGCAACAAGTCTGTCGGGTGATAAAAGTGACAGTGAAGCAGGAAGGATTTATATGCAGCTTTCCAGGAAGGACCCTATCATTAAACTGCTGTATGTCACTCCTGAGAAGGTGCGTTTGTGTGATTTGTGTATATACACTGAATTTTTTTGTTTTCCGACTAACTTCACGGGTACCGGTAATTAAGATTTGTTTCGCGCCTCAGTTTTGATGCTGCTTCTTTCTTCCCTCCAGGTGAGTGCGAGCAATAGAATAATCTCGGCCATGCAGAACCTGTATGAGCGAGGTCTTCTGGCCCGCTTCGTCATCGATGAGGCACATTGCGTCAGCCAGGTGCGTGACATTGCTTTGATGTATAACAATTTGCAACATGTGTTTATTCTTTTACGTTTTGTCACTCATCCCGTCCCTTCAGTTTATTTATTTATTTATTATTTTTTAGTGGGGCCACGACTTCCGTCCAGACTACAAGAAGTTGCATGAACTGCGTCAGAAGTTCCCCAACGTTCCAATGATGGCTCTGACAGCCACTGCCACCCCCCGTGTACAAAAAGACATCCTCAACCAGCTAAATATGACTCGGCCACAAGTGTAAGAGTCCACTTTTAGACTGTCATTTATAGATACTGACAGCCACCAGTGTCTGGACACTGGTAATTTTCCTTTATGATGTGTGTTCAGGTTTACCATGAGCTTCAACAGAGTGAACCTGAAGTACTTTGTGCTGCCCAAGAAACCCAAAAAGGTTGACGAGGACTGCATGAACTGGATCAAGAAGCACTACCCACGTAAGTGTTTCAGCTGTTAAAGCATTGTTGTAACTACGATGTTAAAAAGACTTGGTGATTAAAGCTCTCCGTCACCATGACAGATTTCGGTCATCTGTAAAAATGGGTGGTTTTGTTGTAGCAATCCAATCTAAATATGATGCAGGGATTAAACTGACACCGTGCTCAACAAATAAAAAGAACCACCGTCGTAGTTTTATCCAGTCAGAACAGAGAAGGGCAGGTCGTGCAGGCTTATGTACGGTGAGCTCGAGTGTGAGACTGCAGGTGAACGCACTGATCATTCTACAGGTCCTGACCCAGCAGCAGCAGCTCAGCCTGTGAGCACCTCTCCCTCCCAAAACACTCACAGGCGCAGGAGCTGCACTCAGAGCAGAGTCGCACGCTGCAAACGGAGCCACCGCTGATCCTGCTCTGGCTGACAGACCTCCTGCACTGCGCCCCAAAACTCCCTGGGACTTTTGTATCTAAAATTTAACTTTAAATGTAATGTTTGAAACATGGTCATTATCATACAGACATGTCTAACTTGCCAGCGTGACTAAATTCTTGGTCCTCAAAAGAGAGATAGAGAGAGAGCTGATGTGAGGGCGCCTGCCTGAGTTTCACTTTGTGAGACTGGCTGCTTAAAAAAAAATATTTTATTTACTTTAATTCCTGTTGTTGTGATGTGTCTGAAACACTATAGCTTAAAGAACTTTAGGTCAACACAGTCGATGTAAAAGAAATCCAGTCATAATGATCATTTAAGGTTTAAAATTTGTTGAATAACTTAAATATTTTTAAATTAAACTTATGTTTCCTTTTAAAGAAGTAATATACTTGGAGAATGACCGTGTTTTGAATATTCCTATGGGGTGATATTTTATGAGTGATTCATTGTTTGTAAATCTGTTTCTCTGTACCCGACAGGTGACTCTGGCATCGTGTACTGCCTGTCTCGTAACGACTGCGACGCCATGGCAGAGAGTCTGCAGAAAGCAGGGATACTGGCTCTGTCATATCACGCTGGGCTTAGTGATGGCCAACGAGAATATGTACAGAGCAAATGGATCAATCAAGATGGCTGCCAGGTCAGGTCACAGCTCAACATCAACCAATAAACCTCAGAGACCGAACATTTAATACAAAACATGATGCAAACCTGCTGTGACGTGTTCAGATTGCAGGCTGGGACACATTGCATGTTATTTTTGTTTTATTATCCAGGTGATCTGTGCCACGATAGCCTTTGGCATGGGTATTGACAAGCCTGATGTGCGCTACGTGATCCACGCCAGTCTACCTAAATCCATGGAGGGGTACTATCAGGAGTCGGGAAGAGCTGGCAGAGATGGAGAGATCTCTCACTGCATTCTGTTTTACTCCTACGCTGATGTCCACCGCATTAAGAGGATCATCAGCAGTACGTGACAAAATATGGGCGCTAGTTACATCCAAAATTAATGTAAGTAATCTTTTTTATGATTAAGGAAAGTCCTAATCGTGTTTGTTTATTTGGGGGGTTGCAGTGGACAGAGAAGGTGACAAGCACACCAAGGCTACCCATTACAACAACCTGCACAGCATGGTGCACTTCTGTGAGAACTTGATGGAGTGCAGAAGAATTCAGCTGCTCGCCTACTTTGGAGAGCTAAAGTTTGACAGAAACTTCTGTAAAAATCATCCGGACGTCAGCTGTGACAACTGTGCCAGACCCAACGTAGGACTTGATTTTTTTTATCTTTTACTCGTGTTTGTTAAGCCAATAAGGTCAACAGCCATGTTGGTTTGTTTTTATTACAGCAATTCAAGATGAGGAACGTGACTGAAGATGTGAAGCAGATTGTAAGGTTCGTCCAGGAGAACTGTGAGAAAGTCGGAGCGAAGTTCGGCAGGACGGCTCAGCAGAATCGACTGACGCTGAACATGCTGGTGGACATCTTTATTGGTGCGCAGCTGCTTTAATCTGTTCCAGCAGCTGTAAAGCTGCTTGTGTTCTCTTTATGTTAACAGCTGAAAATGTTCTCGCATTCTGTCAGGGGCTAAATCTGCCAAGTTACAAACAGGGATGTTTGGGATGGGGGCTGCGTACTCTCGCCATAATGCAGATCGTCTTTTTAAAAAACTGGTCCTGGAGAACATCCTGGTTGAGGACCTCTACATCACTAACCACGGCCAAGCTGTGACTTACATCTCTGCTGGACCAAAGGCCATGAGCGTGCTGTCTGGGTACATGCAGGTAGCGATCACATTTTCAGAAGAGCCTGAAAAAATAAATGCTGATGTATGGAGGTTAATATATAAAAGAAATTCTGTCCAAAAATGTAATAATGTGTAAAAATTTAACATATTGATTGGAACAATGTGACAGTGCAGCGTTCTTATTCTGTTTTTCTTGCTTTAAATTTTGTGTTTTGCTCTTGGGAGTGTATTAACATTTATTTACTTGTAGGGGCCCTACCACACTGTTGATCTTGGTTAAAACATTGAACTTTATTTGGTTCTTGTCACCCCCAGGTGGACTTCTATGAGACCGAGAGTGCATCCAGCATCAGGAAACACAAAGCCGTTTCTAAGAACATCTCCAAGAGGGAGGAGATGGTTCAGGAGTGCCTGAAGGAGCTGATTGATCTGTGCAAGCAGCTCGGCAAAGCGTTTGGACTTCACTATTACAACATCTTCTCCACCGCTGCCTTGAAGAAGATATCTGGTAGGTTCTGAACTCTAAGGTTGCTGGCCTCGTGACAACAGTGCACCGGACTGTATTAACCAGTATTTTGTTTTTCTTTACAGAGAGGCTTTCTTCTGACCCTGAAGTCCTTCTGCAGATCGATGGTGTGACCGAGGATAAACTGGAGAAGTATGGAGCCGAAGTCATTCAGGTGCTACAGAAATACTCTGAGTGGCAACTACCCGGTAAGTGACTCAACATGAAGAGTCTAACGTCACACATCTTCACTGTGTTACTATTTTTTTTCTTCTACGTTTTACTTTTTAATTAGGGATGCACAATATTATCGGCATGGTATCGGTCGATATTAGCGATAAAGTTAAATATCGGACATTGGCCATTCCATCAAAATAACTCACAGATATAAAAGGCGTTGTTTATATATATATATATGTTTATATATATATATTATATATATATATATTAGTATAAGGCACTGTTTTTGTATGCCTTTTCGAGTGTTGTCATTGTGTTACAGAGAGTAAATGTCATGAATAAATTTGACAATAAACATAATCATAGTTGAAGTGTTGCATCATTTTCAGCCCCCTTTTTGACATCTGCATGTGGTAGCAGGTCAAACTGACAAAGACCACGCAGAATAATGTAGTATTTTAATTCCACAGCAGAGAAAGATATGTAGTCTCTGTAAGTAGGTCTAGGAGAAAAATATCAGTATTGATATTGGTTATCGCCCAAATAAGTTTTAACATATTGGCATATCAGATATCGGCCAAAAATCCAATATCGGGCATCCCTACTTTAAAGTATTACTGGTAGTTTTCTTGTCTCTGTCGCAGAAGAGCAGACTGAGCCTGATGCAGATGGGTGGATCGACACAACACGAGGCCACACACATGACGACGAGGAGTCAGAGTCCTCTACGTATTTCAGCAATCAGGCTGCTCGAGGGCAGAAGAGAAAGAAAGCTCCTTTCTTCAGTTTTTCCAAGAAGAAAAAAGCGTACAGCAATGCAAGCTCTAATTTTAAAGGGTGTGTAGAGTGTCGCTTTCTTTGAGAATATTACAAGTTTCATTGCCCATCTGAAACACACTTTTCTTTTTTCTGTTCGTCGTTTTGTTGTGGATGTAGTCGTGGCTACAGCAGCAACAAGTCATCCAGATCCAGAGGTGGGTGTCAGAGTGCGGGGCGAGGGTCCGGGAGCTCAGCGGGAAGTAACCCAGCAGGCAGGAGACCAGGATTCCTTCCTGCTCCGACGCCTCAAGTCAACAAGCGGCTCTTTTTAAAACCTTCCTTTTCACACATGAGCTGAGAGCTGCTTCGTTTTACACCTCACCTTGATGTTCAAAAAACAACTTCTTCCACTACTTTATGTAAGCCAATTGTTAATTTTATAAATTAACAGTTCACTGTTAAAACTATCTTGAACGTGTGCAGCTTTCATACAGCACGTTTAGTTATTGTCAATATTGTAAAACTGTAATGTAAAATGTGTATTCTGTTCCTGGACCACAATGTTTTAACTGTTTTTATATTAAAGACAAATTCAACTTTACTTGCATACATTCCTTTAGCTGGTCTACTTTTACTTAGGGAAAAATTGTGTCAATTGCAAAAATAAAAACAGGCAGATGACACTTTTTATGTAAAGTTTATTTCAAGTTTGAATAGGTTGCTTTCATGGCACCAGTTACAAGGGACTACTGAAGAGAAACGCTATTTGATACTGACATGTACAGAAGGTTTCCTACAGTACAAATGAGGGTTTGGAATGAATCAGACTAAACGCGAACTGGGTTTGGCACATGGATTGATATACATAAATATATATATTTGTATATTTAATGAAATTAAATGGCAATCTCCAACTTAAGGGTAAAACAAAGCAGACAAACCACTAGACATGAAGATGTTCACATTTTAAGGTGAGTGCAACACCGAGTGCGTCTGTCAACAAGGAAATTAATATTTATGGTAAATTTCATCAACCTTGTAATGCAACAAAACCCATCTGCATAAACGTGTTGTAAAACTCCCGGTTAGCTACTTGGGTTATTTTGGTTGCCTTAAGTTCATGCTTGTGTCTAAGGTGGCAAAATAAAATGCACGGCTCAATGAAATAAAACTAGCAGAAAAACATTATTTAAAATACAGCATTAAATAAACCTGATATTTCTGAAGCAGCCTTGATTTGCATGAAACCATACTCATCGGGTATTTTCACCTTAAACCAGTCTTCCAGTGTTTACGTTTGAGAAGGCTGTGCCACTTGAGCATTGCTCTAAAGCATCAGTTTTGTTAAAACATCCAAACAAACCTTTTAGTCATCTGTAATAAGTTAAATAGAAAAAGACATGTTGAGAAAGATGTACATGTTAACAATAAAAATTTTAAAAAAAGGGATTTTGAGCTTCCTGGTGTCGAGTACAAACATTTTCAGACATTGGTTGTCTCCACATCTGTCAAGATGCAGATGTTTGTTCCTGAAAGGGATGTCTCCATTTATTTTTAGCCACTTTGGTACTTGTAGGTTCAGATGTAGGCACAAGGAGCAATATGTCATTTAATGAACCAGAAAAACTAAACGAAAACAAAAATCCACACGAGAGATTGCAAATGAAAATGGATAAATAAATAAAAACCAGAGTTACCGTACTAGTTAAACCAATAGTAACTCAGTGGTCACATCAATGTCAAAGCAGCAATTCAGCAGGTGTTTTTCTACAAACACAAAGGACTTGAACAATCAAACAAATTATCTTTAATGTACACGTTTGTAAATCACACCTCTTTGCTTGTACAGCAGATTATTGCTCCTTGAATAATGCTGCCTTTTTTTTTTTTTTTTGAAAAGTTGCATGTTCTGCGTGAGACCACTAAAGCTACATAGTGCTGATCAATATCTGAAAAACACCCTCGCACACAGTTGTAGGAAACCAGCTGATGAGTTGTGCTGACCTCTGACGAAGTAATAAATATAATGCACGTGTACACCTAAAAAAACATCAACCTACCCACTCTGCTTCACTGCTCGTTAGGAAAAATGTGCTTTAAGTTTGCATTTGCTTTACGCTGAATGTAAAGTGAAAAGTAAAACCTGCGTTGAATGGATGACGGGTTTCCTGCCGATGTAGCTCGTTTGATTTGATATTAGTGGTTTTGTGAAAGATAATGAGCTGCAGCAGTGGATCCAGCCACGGCGCCAAAGAGCACGCTACTCTGGTCAGGACTACAACTCCGCTTGGAACTGAGGGGCTCGGATTGTACAGGAGCAAACTGAGGCACAGCACCATCAGGCTTTCAGTAAGCAGCTGCAAGTTTAAAAAACTGCAGCCATTAGATTAATAGAGTCCAAACTTGCTCTCCATCCAGAACCCATGGGCCTCTTTTTCCTCTTAACTTGTAACCCACTCACAGAATGACTGTCCTTTGCAAGATCATGTCTCCTAACCATGGGAACTACATCCTTGATGCATTTAATTATTGCTCCCAGTAGCCGAGAGGCAGAAAAGTCCATAGCCTGGTCCAAATATAAAGTAGCCAGTTTTATTTAATATATATTGAATTTACTTGCATGTGCAGTTTAAAAAAGCAGCCGATTTATTTAGTGCCAGTCAAATTACGTCTGCCCTGGTGTTTTTCCTACATATTGCCCAATACATTTTAGCAGAGTTAAATGGATCAGATTTTGAGAAGTGGAGTTCAGTGTGAACTTGAACAGTTAATATCTTACCTGTCGTGCAGCTCTTTGAAATACCTCAACGCTTGAGTTTAAGTTTGACCAAAGTGATGCGATGACAACTAGTCTGCGCAAGACCGAGACCAGAGTGAACTGCTGGTGTCTTAAAACAAGTGCATCCATCTATTTTCTTTACCTGCTTCTGACTTTTTGGGTCATGGGGGTCACTGGTGCCTAAATCCAGCTGTCCAGGGACACCCTGGACATGTCTTCAGTCCATCACAGAGAGGGACAAACGAGACAAACAACCATTCACTCACACCCAGGGACAATCCAGAGCCACCAGTTAGCCCAAGTCGAAGCTCAAAATGTCGTGGCAGTTCGTGCAAACCCTGTTTTATAAAACTTTACAGCTCTGCAAATTTTGCATTTCACCACGTATTTACATCATTATTCTTTACATCCATCAATTTTCTTCACCTGATTTTCTGTGCAGGGTTGCAGAGAGCTGCAGCCTGTCTGCAGCAGTTATTGAGCAAGGCATGTGTATTCCAAAGCACAAAAAGCAGCAGCTAGCTGTAGCAGTCCCCGTTCAACTACTAGCCACAAGTCCAGCAACGGACCGACTTGCAGCAATTCTTTCTTCTCTCGGGGTATCCTTTTCTTCGTCTCTTACTCATGCAGGACTAACAATAATCACTGTCAGCACAACAAACTTAACTTCAAAATAAACTCCAATGGCAGAAACAGACAATAAAATACTTGTTGTTTTTAGGCGTTTAAGTGTTGTGTTAAAAAAGGAGGCCAACTGAGAAAGTATTATAAAACTTGGAGTGTCACTTTTAAGTGCTGAATGTTCTGGTATTTCTGATTCTTTAAATTTGTCCATCTTAATTAGACTTCAATTGTTCCAAAATCACTGCCCATTCCTAGTTTGAATTAACCACTATTAAACTTTTGAGATTGGAGTTACTTTAGGATGCCAACAATCCATTAAGTCTTGGTGTATCTCAGATAAGCAGTTCACTCATCAATCCAGTCAGAATCAAACAGTATTATCTGCAACAGGTAAGATACTAACTGTTCATAACCTTCTGACAGAACCACATTTAAAACAATCAAAACTGTTCCTTCAGGTCATGACTGAAGTTGTTTTATGTTTGTGGTTTTGTTGATGCAGTCCAGTTCACAGCCGCCTCGCTACTTTCTTCAACTAAATCAAACTTTGGGAAGTTTTGAAAAGATTAAAACTTGTTTTTAGATTAGTTGAGCCAGTGATGATGATGATGATGATGATGATACTGACTGTATTTGATGTAATTTACTACAAACTGTATGTACACTGACTGACTGCTGGCAGAGGGGTGGGAGGCGGGAAAACTGGTGAGTGAATCTGGATAAAAGCCCTGCTTGTTTATTTGTTTGTCTGTTTCAAGGCCTTTCCACATTTCCATAAATGCCTCTTACCTCATTTGAAACGCAGCGCTAAAAAACATATAATTTTAATCTTCGATAACAAAATAACATTTCAGTTCTGGTAAAATATACATGGAAAAAAACTGTAAATATATATAATAGGAAACCAACTTGTTTTTTTTTTTGTTTGTTTTCTTACAAAACATACGTCACTACTCTTATTCTAGCAGTTATAATTATATAGTATAGTACATAAACTTAGGTGCAAGGTTGATACAAAACCAAAATAGATCAAACTTTTCATAAAAAGAAATCATTGAAATTCATTGAATTTTAGTTGCATGAAAAACAAATAGTAAATTATTTCATAATAGAAAGGAAACTGAAGAAATGAGCACATTTAAAGCACTTAATTAATAAAATCACATCAGCATTGAGCAGCTACCTAGCCTATTATCTATTGGTGCCAGAGTATCTTCTCTAATTGTATCAGACACTAATGGGTCACATGACACGTACAGTTTGTCATCAAATGTTTAAAAAATCAAATTTGAGCTTCACCAGATGAGCTTACTGTATTCATGTCAAATTGTTTTAAATAAAAGTGTTAAACAGTCATGAATTTCTTCTCACTAAAAAGGCTTTTGATGATCACCTGGTCTGTTTCTCCATTCCTGAACCTGCATTTTACACTTTTATCCCCCCGTTCTGTTTGTTTTGCAAAGTCTGTCTTCTCATGGGGATAAATCAAAGTCCATTAAACTCCTTCAAACCATTTGACACCTAACTTAACTCACTTCCATGTCTCAAAGACAAATCAACTTCCTTGATTACCGTTTATTAACTCGTCTCCTTCTTATTCAAACGTGTTTGAAAGCAATAAATAAAGAAAGTCCATCATTTGCAAAAGACTGAATAGCATAAAATATATATTTAGTTCGTGTGAAACAACTGTTTGAAATTCCTCAGTTCTGTGATTTTGTTTATTTTTAGTTGTGTTTTAAAAAAAAAGAAATCCTGAAATGACTTAAAAGTTTATAAAATGCCAAAAAAAAAAAAGGAGTGGAGCGAGGAGGTGGTTCTTTGAGAGGGGAGAGAGATCCTGGTGTGGTGGTAAGAGGAGTGGTCCAAGACAGTTTAGAGGAGGGGGAGGATTAAAAAAGAAGAGTTCATGGTTGGGACGATGCTGCTGCCCTTGACTCCAGAGCCTCAAACATCCTCTCAGGACCCCCCCGGCCCCGGCCCCCACAATGGGCTAACGTTCCTACGACGGCGCTCTCACTGGTTGTTAATGAGCAGCCCGCCCACCCAGCGGAGCTTGCAGGCAAACCACCGTCTGAGGGGACAAAAGTACTCGTAATGAAACTGCTCGAATTCAGGCGTCTGGCGGATGTCGCTTAAAAATGCAATATCGAGGTCCGACTCAGTGAGGATGATGAGGAGGAGGAGCAAGACAAAAAGGAGTCCAATGGTGACGAGGAGCAAACGAAGGACACTTAAGACAAACTTGTTCACCTGTTCCGCCTCACTAACAGCCGGGTCCTTGCTTCCTGCAGATCTACTGTCCGCACCAAAATCACCCCCTTCCCCTTGTGTTGGGGTGCCCACCTCCGACTCCCTTTCTTCCTCGATGCTGCAGGGCGCCCCGTTGATTTGTCGTGAGACGGCCAGCTCCATGCCGTGCTCGGCCACCGGCGTGGGAAGCACGCTGTCCGAGGGGCTGTAGGCCTCGTCCGAGATGACTGCCATCCCGTCGCCGGCGTCTGCGGCCTGGCTCCGGGAGCGCGGTAGGAAGGATTCACCATGGGACATGGATCGGACCGGTGTGGAGTGAGCACTGTCACGCAGGCACTCCAGACCTGGTGGAGGGGTTCAAAGAGGAGAAAAGAAATGGGATTATGGTGCACATTGTACAGCTTGGTTCAAGATTAGCGTTAGTGTAAAATCACATTTCTCAACACTCATTAGCTCGTTTAAATGGTCAGAATTAAACTCTTGCTCTCTGAACTGACATAGCTCAAAGAGCTATCTACAACAGGTAAGACATTGTTTATTAACTTCTTACAGAACCCTATTTAAAAAGATTTCAGCAATCTCTTTGAGAACCTTTAAAATGCAATTTGAGAAAAACAAGACTTTAAGTGAGTTGATGTCAGTTACAATAAGAATATTCCTGATAGAAATAGGTGAAAAGTGAAATCAGTTTTATCACTGAATTTCCTTTACAAAAGAATAAAAGACTTATGAGCTGCTACATGAAGAATTTTATAAACCAATTATTTACTGAGTCAGTAACAACCCCATAACTAAAGGATTAAAAAACACTATTCTATGTACAAAATATGAAAAACTGACTGACCAATGTTTTACTAGCAAACTTTATCCTCAAACACCCAGGTATCCACCATGTGGCGTTCACTGACACACTGTAAAGTTGTTCACATGACTGTTTGTTGAGCAGAAGTGAGTGCAGACTCAAGACTGTGAGTTTCTCAGAGCTAAAACAGTTTATCCCACCATCTACACTAAACTGAACTTGTAAAAAAAATGCAATAATTTATCCTGCAGCCAAAAATCAAGATAAAGTTTATTTCTGTAGAACAACCGTAAACCACTGACCAAAGTGTGTTACGGAGGGCATAAAATCAGTAACTCAACTATGACATGAACTTCAACAAAACTCTCACCTAGTCAAATATCCTGCAGCCAAACTTTATTGATGTGTATATACAGGTATATATATATATATATATATATTTAGCATTCAGATGCAATTTGACAGATTGCAAAAAAAAAAACGCAAACCAAATTTTCTGATCAAACTACATTTAATGTATTCGCCTGGCAACTTCTGAGTCCATCTTTTCAAAGAGTTGCTGCTGCATCATTTGATCCCACTTCAGATGTTGGACTTTACAGTTTCTCTCATTCTTGAAAGCAAAGCTTCATTCCACTGCTCAAAATGCAAAACGTTCCTTTCTGTTAATAATAAATGATAATAATTATAACTTTATGATATACAACTTGTTTAACTGATCAGTTATCATGTTAGGTTAGGCTTCAATCACCGAATACTAAGCAGAAAAATCTAACAAAAAGAGCTAACAAGGCTACATCAGTTTATCTTTATACAGCTGTTGATCTGTGGGTAATAATATATGAAACTAGTGCACAAATGCAAAATTACTGACCCATTTTTAAACACAAATTGCACCAAGAAAACAATAATAAAAAAAAAAACTGTTTATATAAAATTAAAAAAAGCACCTAAATGTTTTCTAAATTCGGGGTTTATAAATTAAAATAGGTTTTATGAGAGTTTTTTGTACCATGTGCCTTAATTAACAAGGGCACTAATAATAGAAATAGTCTGTTTGTGGAGTTTGTACCTAAAATAATATCTCATAACAACAAACTCTTAGACTGATGCAAAATATAATATGTTATGTTTTTTTATCCCATTAAGTGCAGGCGGCTCATTGCCTGAATTTCCATTGAGCCTTCAAAGTGTTCATTCAAGCAAAGGTTTTGATAAATACCACAGATTCAAATCCAGCGTTCATTCTGCAGCTGAGGCACTAGTTCAGTAAACGGGAGACGCTCTGCAGTGAAGATGAGCTACAGCTGAGCACACTGCTGACGACATCACATTCTCCAGTGTGTCAAAGCAGCAACATTACCCTGCCTCCGCAAAGAGAAGGGATTTAACATTAAGCATCTGGTGAGGAGGCAAATCATAAATCATAAAAAAGGGCTTTAATTTGTAGAAGTAGGGCAGATTATGTCCAACACTTAAGCTTCTGCTGACATGAAGCTGCTGTCGAGTAAAAAGTAAAAGAAGCTAAAAGAATATCAGCGGCCATCTTTAGTTGCTCTAACTCATCTTGTTCTATGATTTTATTTTAAAAAAGCAGCAACAACAAAAAACAAGACAGTAAATATAAAAATATATTGCTTTGACCTAAATAAAAAAAAAAGCTTTAAAGCAAGACACGTCCAACAAATGAACCAACTACAACCATTAACATCATGTGCAAACCATCAACATCCCAACTAAAAGCACAGACAGACATGATATCTGTCTTTTCTTGCCACCATCAATAAGGACAGATTTCAAATTAAAAGAGGATCAAGTGCTGCCACGTAAAAACCTCCTCGTGCTGCCTCTGTGATTAGTTTACCTGGAGGGTTGCTGGGTTGAACGCAGGACAGCGGAGCACCGAGAAGAGGACTGACTCTGGCGGACTCCTGCTGACCCATCAGGGCAGGATAGAGGGGCAGGACTCCCAGGGCTTTGCCCAGCATACGAGGCCCCAGACTCAGCACGCGAACCTTCACGTCCCGATAGCAGTGGTTGATCATGCGCAGGTGAACGTTCACCCGGGTGGTGATGCGGATCAGACATTTCACCATGGCTGCACTTCCCTATCCTGTCCTTATGGTCCCCGTCCAGAGTCTAGGTCCACAGGTTTACAACTCAACAGCTGTTTTTGGAGGTGAAACGGTGGCGTTCTGCAAGCACCACTTCAACTGCCAGCCTCCTGACTTAGCCCCGCCCAGGTCAGTGACATACATGGAGCAGAAGACCCTGGTTATTTTCAGCTGGGGTATTAATACCACTCTAAGACACTCAGTCAGCACACACAGAGGGTTGGGAAGTCTTATGGTTCTCTCAAATACACAGTAAAAGACTAAATATACACAAACCACCTGCTACTGATCTCATTTATCTAACTGTAAAAACATGAACAGCCTGATCAGATCTCACTGTTTCACCCAAACCACTAACTGACCCGATGAGTCCAACAAAAACACTGAAACTGACTGTTCCAGGCTGAGAAGTGACTTTAGCTGCCAGTGCGCAAAGTAAACACAGTCACAGATATCTCTAAAATGATCCGATGAACTGAGTCAGACTGAGTGACGCACACACCTGCAACAGTCCCCTCCAACACGAACTCAGCCAAACGGCTCTAGTTTCAGATTGTGTGCGAGAGAGCGTACGGTTTACTCAAGAAGAGGGGGAACTCTCACAGATGGGGTTGGTTCTGTCGACCTTTTTTAACATTTTCTGCCCACCGGTTTGCTGTTGTACTCATACTAAATTCATGAGTGCACATGAAAGATACCAGTACATAAACTTTGACAAAACAACAGTTTTTTAAATACGGTAGTCCCTCGTTTATTGCGGGGGATCCGTGCCCTGAAGCCCTGAGATAAATGAAAAACAGCGAAGTAGGAATAGTAGAACAACAACAATAGTAGTAGTAGTTTATTTTATTATATATATATATATATATATATATTTATTTTTTAAAGACGTTTTAAACCCTTCCCACACTCTTGCAATACTCTATACAATGTTTCTAAAGTCTAAACGCTCTAAAAGAGCACAAAATGTCATGATCTCTGCACTCTGCCACCTCCAGCGCTCTCGGCCACGCCCACTTCTCCGCTGCATAGCGGAGAATGTTTCTCCTGCAGTGTGGACTGCACACAGGTACTAAATAATTTATTTAAAATAAAAATTCCATGCCGATCGTGCGGCTCATCCATCAATCGGCCATTGTGTGTCATGTCCAATCTCATTTTGAAAAACCGCGATAGAGCGAGTCTGCGAAAAACGAACCGTGAAGTAGCGAGGGACTACTTTATATTTTACTTCACACACAGAAAACATATGGCTTTGCTGTGCACAAACAAACATAATACAACTTGAAATACGTTTATAGTTTTGTTTACAAGGTTAATGAGGTCGGTGGTTTTGCTCGTTGAACGTTTTGAATCTTCAAAAAGAGGCACTGCATATTAGCAGAGTCGCTTCTTTTATCCAAAAGTCCAGGGTGTTTATGACATCAGTCTGCACAAAACTGCAAAACCTAAACCTCTCTTGGTTCATCTGAAAAGAAAAAAGCCCTTCTCCTTTTACAAACACAAAAGTCTGCATATTTTTCTAGTTTAATAAGTGACCCCTAATATGTGTTTTAACTAAGTCAGTGTGGCCCTTTGGTAACAAAAACTTGCTTTAGTTCCTGGAGCTCGAGCTCAGTTCTTACCCTCCATGATAGATATGTGCACAGCTCTCCGACGTGTGCGCGGTACACTGCAGAGGCGAGGCCCATGGGTGATAGATGGGCAGCTTCTACTGGGCACGAGACCAGCCCTGCCAAGAAAAAAAACTGACGTGAAGCCCAAAATATCCCTGAACTGAGTGAAAGTAATTCATCCTGAAGGAGATGCTGACAGTAAAACCTCTGATTATACTTTGTACATCCTGATCGTTACTCTACCTGTGTATTTCTGGAGGTTCACGTTTGATTTTGGCACTCTGCTCCATCACTTCTTTCGCCACTCGCCCGCTGATGTAAAGCACAGAAATGTTGTTCAGGATGAGTTAAACACACACACACGCGTGAGCAGACATGATGGTCACACTCGGTGCTCTGGAAGCCATCACTACAGCCGAGCATTTACAGTCCATGAGCATTCATGATCAAATTAACCTGGCGAGTTCAGCCTTGTGTAACCGAATCACCACCAGTCCGACAAATCGAATCACTGATTTGGTGATTCGATTTGTTTGCCCTTTAACAATAAACTCGACCTGTGACTGTGTTTACTGACTCTCTTTGATTTGTGACCTTCATCAGGGTGAAACGGTCAACACTCAGTCCTCATTGGTCAATAAATCACTGCAGAAATTAGTGCTTGGATAGTCTGGAGTTTTTTGTCCCATACTTGTTTTATGATGACACCAATAAGGCCACAAGTCATTCAGCTTGATTAAAAAAAAAATACAGCTTTTGTCTATAAACAACAGTGTTGACCTCGTTAGAGTTTTGTACAAACTTCAGTTTTATGTTTTAAATGTTGGACATGGCTTAAAATGCAAATTCAACATAACACACGTGATGAATGTGTTCTCTGTGTCCTCCATCCTGTGAGGTGTCCAACATGTCCTCCAGGCAGAAGGCTGACATGACAGCACAGAAGGTCAGGAAGTCAAGTCATCTGGGAACACTGGTCTCCCCTCTTCAACATTTTTATATATATACTTATTTTCCCCTTTAGCCTTCAGTCATGCTGCCAGCTGGTATATCCTACCTGTAGCGGAAACGGCTGCCCTTGAAGAACAAGTTGCTGCTGGAGACGGTGCGAACTTGACTTGACTTCTCGAGCCTGATGTAAAGATAAAAAAAAAAAGCAACACTGTTCAGTCAGCTCATCTGGACTTTTTTTGGGGGGGGGGGGCTGAGACATTTCGCCCTCCATCCAGAAGGCTTCATCAGTTTGAGGAAACACCAAACAAAACTGATTCTCCCCCAACAACTTACTCCAAAGTCAGAAAAAACAGTTATGTTGGTGCTAAGATGGTCTCTGGGACACACCCTCTCCTCCGGTGCCCGCCCTCTCCCTCGTCGACAGTTATGGCAAACTTGTTCAAAAACAACAAAATCCATGCTCAATAATCCAGGTATAAAATCCAACAATGTTCAGTCAGGTCATCTGGATGGTTTCATTTTTGTTATTTTTTTTGGTGCTGAGATGTTTCACCCTCCATCTGGAAGGCTTCGTCAGTCTGAGGAAACAGGCTGCTGGGGGAGGAGCAGTTTTGTTTGGTGTTTATACCTGGATTATTGAGCATGGACTTTGGTGTATATAAAAAAATCATTTAAATCTACAAATATTAAAACAAACAACACAGAGATGAACATATTTACTAACTACAGCCAAGTATTCCTGACAAACACAAAATGGCTATAACTCTGTCAGTTTAACATCAACACAACAGATGGGCTACAGGAGCTGAGAGTCATGCCCAACATTTACTCTGAGAATTAATAGATCACTCAAGATCTTGGTTAAAATTCTGGCATGCAAGACGGCGGACAATATGCATTCCTACAAAGCATGTTAGTTTCATTGTTTTCGGGGTTCGAGACCAAAGCTAAAGCTAGAATAAAATACTCCTTACTTAAATTATGCATGCCATTTTATGCAGGGTCCTCAACACAACTCCATACAGTGTATTATGTTATACAGACATGTCCACAGCATATTAATGTTTTATGTTTCACTTTGCAGCTAATACATCATGCAAAGTGTTGCATGTTAATCCCCAGGATCTTTTCTTCTTCTTTCCTTTTTGTCATTTAAACCGTTCACACGTTTTCATCACCTGAGCTGTCATTGCTACGAGTCGACCCTCTCAGCCACTGAGTCCAAACAGTGTGTTTTTGTTAATCCTCCTTGAGCTGAAAATCAGAAGCATCTAAAACTATAACTCATATTTCAGGAGGTGGGGAGTCATATCCCAGGAGTGCTAGCAGTCTCGTGCCAGTGCGCTCTCATTCACTAAAAGGTCAGCAGCTACGTGCACCTCGTTTTCATGCTGATAAACACCCGACGGGCTTTTGGGGAGATGGGATGGGGAGAGTGTTGCTACACAATGTAGCGGGAAAAGGATAAAAAAAATTAGAAAATCTGCATTTCCTGTAAAGATCAAGTGTGAATGCTAAGTACTGAAAAATGTGGAAGAAGGTAAAAGTCACCTAAAGCTAAAAATAATTAAAGGCTAGCAAACAGTAACAAAATGCTAGCTACAAGTAGTAAAACGCCTGCAAAAATGCTAAAAGTAAGCTCGCTAAAAGTGACAAAAGACGAGCTAAAAGCTAAATGTAGCAATGTGGTTGCTACAAACTGAAAGTAGCATAAGACGAGGACAAAATAGAAAGTATAGTAAAGCAGATTTCAGTGAAAACAATGTTTTTGAAGAAATTAAAGAAATATTGATGTGTCTTTATTAAAATAAATATTTGTAAAAATAAAGTTAAATATTTTAAACATGAACGTTGCAAAAAACAAAAGTTATGGCACCTATCTCCTAAATGAGCTGAATATTTTGAGATATAAATGCTTAAATCAACCACT